GATGTCCATTACGTCGTCCTCGTCAGCCTGGGCCATCTCATCGTTCGTAAGAGTGAAGTATGGATTTGCAGAGGCCGGTCGGAACTTGTATCCGGTAAGAACGAAAAAGATATAAGTGGCCATTTCTCGGAACACTTCGTCTAACCACTCGTATTGGAAAGGTACCATGATCTGCGATTGTAATACGTATGGTTAGCTGTTTAAATAAAAAGGTTAAAAGCTAATACATTGTAATAAAACGAAAATTGTACCTTAAGTAAGTACACTATGATTCTTGTAAAGTAAATGTAAAACACTATCATGATATAGAAATGCCTAAAAAGCTTGAGCTTGCGTAAGTTTACAGCTGCTTTGCCATCTGTGTGTGCAGCTTCCTGTAGGTGCCTGATACTCCAAACAACTGGAAATATAATGGCACCGCAGCAAAGCAAGTCAACAAGAATGAAAAGATCTCGCCATGTCTTATGTTCGATGTCTCCTTCTTCGCTTTCCTCGATTATTATTTCTGCTACGTTTGCTAATACCTATTAGATCGGATAACAGTTCCTTAGAAAATGATTATCTCAACAATAATTTAATACGCTAAATATATTTTATCGCTAACTTGTAACGGTATCACGATCATGAAGAGCTTTTTATCTTTATCGGCTAAAATATGTTTGATAAACGTCCATCCTGTGCCAACGAGGACGATAGTGATGAAAAGCACGGCTCCCTTCAATAAATGAGTAATATAATAGAGAATCGCCCAAGCAGCCACGTGCTCTCCTTTTGTTTTAATAAAATGGTAATTGATCCCGTGGAAGAGTAGCGATAAAGATTTTAAGTACACCAGGACTGCCATTAGATAGTGGATCTTGAAAACAGGATGTCTAAAGGAAGAAGAATGCTTGTTACAAAAGGCACACCTGTGAAAGTATGTCGGTCGGTTTTGAACGAACCGCTTACTTGCTCTTTTTAAGGATGAATACCCAGAAACAACCCGACACAAAAAATAAAAGCGCCATCATAAAATACAGCGTTGGTAAAGGCATTTCACCCGCGCTTAGAAAATTCCCGGTATTGATCTCCGATATTTGTATCTGTAAATGATAGCGTGGAGAACATAATCTTTAACTGCAAATCGCAAACCTAGAGAATACAGTCGCAAACACTGTTCACAAAAAGGCCATAGTACCGTGAAATCTAACGCAACGTGAGCATCGTATTTGTAATTTGGACAGTTGTGAAAGTAAAGATTATAAAGTCCCTCCTCCTCTTCGGTGGCGACGTACATCGTGAAACTTGTATTGTAATATTTTTCTCCTTTGATAGTTTGTACGTTCATCGGCAGCTTTAAACGCGAGCAAACGCTGACTTCCGATCTAGACTCGAACTCATCCTCGTTAACGGATCTTTTTACACCTGCCAAGTAAATTATTTATATCGTGTAAAATTACACGAAACGTTTGAGAACGGGGACATTTCGTTATCACTTTGCCCATAAATCATCTTAGAAGTGGATTGAACTATGTTAGAGGTTTAATAGACTCCACTATCATAAACTATTATTGACATAAAATGTACTTCTCTAGAAGAGAGTTACCTAACCAGACCCTCAAAAATACTTGAGTTTCGAGTTATTTATAAGATTGAGGACGAGTCACGTTAATTATAGCGTCTCTCATCTTGGTCGTGTTCGATCACTGATGTCGCTTCGCGGCACATTCCGTAAGATATCGATCACATTCGTATTTAGTTCCATGGATCGTAGAGAACACCCGATACGTTCACCGTCGCGACACGAAGTATAGAAAAATATGCTAGAATAGTCTAGAGTATAAGCTAACTGTCTCTAGTATCGCTATATTTTAATAAAAATTAACGAGCCTGAAATGTCCTTGACCCGCTTGAAATCAAACAGCTCCTGCCTCAAAGATTATTTTCCACCTCTCAAACCAAATGACTTATTCAAGGTACTTGGCTTAAATCTTTACTCTGTACACCGTTTCAAATTTCAGAGTAACGATCTAAAAGCTAGATGATAAACGGTTTAGAACAATCTCTAGCGTATATAATCCCGATTAAAAATTATTGTTCTATAGGCAAACCTGCTTATTTTTTTTATATAAAAGAAACATTTTAACAGCTACATCCTAAGGTCGTGACCGAGGCGGTCGATGCCAACTTTTCATTTTCCACCTGTTAGTTCATGTTACGTTAATACCCAGTGTCTAATGTTAGTAACAGACCATATTAAAAATAACTCGCGAATGCAGCAGCGTTTATTTTTACTGGACTGTCCAAATTGACCCTGATAAGCATCCCTGGCTATTTAATATCGCACTATTTCGTTGGAATTTCCAATCTATTTTTAACGATATCAATTACTCGTGAAACGGTAACGCTCAACGGTAACGATCAAACGAACACTCATCTTCGATGCATGATCAAATTTTACCGAAGAACAGATTTCTACATATCCGCCCTAATAGGAGGAGAAGTCCTATCCTCGAGTCAAAAATCTTTGCTTCGGTATAGTATCACGGAAATTGCCGAGTGTAATTGGCGAATGAATCATCGTAACATTCGATTAGAAAAGTTGCGAAAGCTTTAGCGTGTCGTGAGGTAACAAGTAACACCTATTCCACGCGGTCTATCGTGCATCAACTTCCTGTTTTTGGAAGCTCGCCAGAATTTAAAGCGCACTACGACCGTCCCGTTACTATTTCGTCGATGTCGTTCATTTTCTCGATCAATGTGTTACCTCCAGTGATATAAAGCAAAAAAGGTAAACGCATTTCGTATTTCCGCCCGAAGCGTCAATCATTTCGCGATTTAAGCCATCTAAGCAAAAACGCACGTGACAAACGCCAACTTTTTTATACGTAGCTTTAACGGCCTAGTCCTTTATGGTTGATACTAACGAGTACGTCAGTACTCCCAAACATAATGTTATGGGCAAAGAATGAAGGCAATTGGAAAAATCTGACACACCGTTCGAGGTGGAGCGTTTTCGCCGTGAAAAAAGAACCGTATCGCTAAACATAGCTGGAAGAGAGTCCCTCTTTTTTCGAAACATCACAATCATGTTGGGATCTTTGTAGATGTGCGCGGTGTGCATGTTCTGACTGCAGTTTATTCTCAACCTGTAACGATAATCCGTATTGTTAGTTTCGTAAATAATATTTATAATAATACTTATAAATAATACTTATAAATAATACTTACAAAGACTTCTTTAAGTCCATCGTAAAATATATCACCGCGTTCTTGTCCCTCTGCTCGAAATCGGTCTTGACGTTCGAAATGTTTTGTAGTACGCATCTCTCTTGGTGATTATCTAAATACGGATTCATCGCATCGCTTAGCGTTCGATCCAAACTGAATCCAAACTGAATAGTACAAAATGTAAAGCACACACACGTTATAAGAAAGGCGAATTATAGTGAAAACCACGGAGTATGATATGAAGCGTAGGAAGCAATTTTTTCGAAAATATTTTGTCAATATATTTTTTCTTTACTAAAATAAAATTTAAACTAAAAGAATCATTTCGTTTTTTTTTTTTTTTATTATTATTATTATTCGATATAAAAAAATATATTAGTTTTAATTACTTTCATTTTAAATTTACTAGTATTTTCAAGATCGATTTTTTCGAGAGCGAAAGCTCGTATAATGAAGATCTACATTTTCGGTTCATTTATTCGAACGAATCGATTTCATTTCATTTGCGCTGTGTTTTGGGAGAACTTGTACATGAACTGTTAGTATTCAAAAATACGCGTATTCGAGAATGGTTTCGATTACTTTCCTAGCGGCAATTTCGCGATGTGAATGAAGGGAAAATGGAAACAGGTGTCCGTGAATGGACGACGCGTAGTACTGCGCGAACAACCACGCTACAATCTACGATAACTTACCACGGCATTCTCGTCGAAAGGGTCGGCCTTGAAATTCAACAGATGTATATCGAGAATACCACCCTTATAAAAACCGAAGGTACTAAGGGCGATATATCGCCGTGTGTCTTTCTGTAACAAGGACAAATTTGTAAGAGTAAGCAAATCAAGGACCCGTAACCTATGACTAAGCGACGATGAGGAAAATATTCTTTCGAAACATGTATAACCGTATAACCTATAGTATGCATCGCATATCCCTTTATTTATCGAAATATTTACGGAAACCTTTTACACCATTTACGATATTTACAGTTTCTTTACGACGTAATAGTAGTTCACAGATTGAACGTCGATACGGTGCTACGATAATATATGTCTTATTCGCCTATAAAATTCGTTCACGGTATTTTCGAAGACTCAGAAATTACGCGTAACTCGAATGTATTGAACGATATTTCTAATTACGTTTACCGGTAAAACGTAATTGACGTAACAAGGCGAGTTCGATAAAGTTACAGATAAATATACATGCGTTATTGTTTCCAAAGAAGTCAAACTAACCCTTATCTCGAGTTTGTGTATCCTGGCGGCAGCGAGTACCAATATTGACATAATCCAGAGACATTGTGTCAGCAGTTGATTCGATTGCATTTTTATAACTTTTCACTGGAGAAATGTCACATCACGAAAACACAAATTAACCATACACCTAAAACATCCAATGTTCGCTCGTCGATACACGAGCAGAAACTGAGCATGAACTACAGGAATATGGATCATGAATGGCGGAATAAACGAACTGAAACGAACCGAATAGCGCGCATTTTTCTAATGCCCTCTTGATAACTATTGCATTTATCGCTGTAAGCTTGTAAAGTTATTTAACGAAACTGCCAAGCAATGAAGCGAATCAATTTTTTTTCATAGAGTAACATTTTCGAACGTTGTCATTTTCGAATTCCAACAAATTCCAATAGTTAACTTTTCTCTACGTTCTTCTGATAATTTTGATTATATTACATTTTCTTATAAAAATTAATTTCAATTTTAATTTTATCCAAAAAAACAAAAAACATCAGGCATAATGTAGGTCGGAATAAAATGTTAGCAACATTGATTCGCCCGCCTTTTTTAGAGGAATCGTATTTCTGATGTTACGAGTAATTTGAATCATCTATCGGCTAAAAGTTAAATCCTGCTGTTATTTGAAAGTATTTAAATGTTAAAAGGTTGAAGGTATATATTCTGCTTTAATATTCACTTCAAGATACATGTCTTGTAGTTCATAGCTCGAGATAAAAACAAAAATTTTAAACCTCATGAAACTTTAGAGGTTATATCTCATTCGCCGGTTGTTACTAAACATATTTCGAGTTTCGTTTAATGTTATGGAAGAGCACTTTGCAACATTAAAATTATTAGATTCGGATAATGATTGTAAATTGACCAGAGCTTTTAGTTATTCCGAACTGCCATCGTCTCAACGAATTAGCCTGAAACAATCTTATTCTGGAAACCCATCTGGCTTGGTTAGACAATACAGTTGCGAACAAATTTTTGATAAAACTGCAAACACAAAGTAAAAATTTAATCTGTATATGGAATAAAATAATCGATCTTATCTGTAATCATTGACATTTTTTTGCAATTTTAGACAGGTAAAGATATCAGAAGTGGTCCGTACTGTCAATAACGAATGTAGAAGAGAGTGGCAAACAACGGTACCATATTCTGATACCTTTAACACCTCTAACTGGCAATTGGGTGGAAGCAACAGTATAGTACAGGCATCAAACCTTATATCAAAAAACAAATCAAATGAAATAGAATACATGGAAATTGATCATGTGGATAATGTAAAGGAATCTACATTTTTATCAAATTGTCTATCACCAATAACTAATATAATTGATAAAACAGAACATCTATTTTCTACCGAATCTAATAACTCAGAAAATATAAGTACAGTGCAACAAAAAATTACAAAAGAAAAGACTGGAAGTACATATGAAGATTTAAAGAAAAAATTCAGACCGTTGGTACCAAAGGCCAAAGTTCCTGTAAAAAAGGGAATAAATATGTGCTACTGCAATTTATTATGTTTATTTCTTATTCCAATTCTCGTGGGAGTAATTGCACTACTTCTAAACCCTGTTACATACACAATTTGCAGTCGTGATATATTCTTCTCGAATGCTACGACTCAAATACAACAGAAACTATATGGACAAGCTACTGCAATTTCCACTATTGCTTATGCTTTACATCAGGATGTCTATAATCTGAAGGTCATATGTCTTATAGGTGGAACAGGTGTCGGGAAATCGTATACCATTGGAATTATAAACAAAAATTTCCCATATAAACAAAAGATTTTTGTATATGATCTATTATTAAATGACAATATAGATGAAAGCACATTAAATTCGTTTAATTCTTATGAATTATTGATCATAGAGAATTTAAAACTGAAAAATTTAGACGTTTTTGCTAGTATATTGGATACATTGAGCAAGAACAAAGACAAGTGTATCACGGTATTTGCCGTTTTTAATGTAGAAGAAGTGGACGAGAATTTGAATCGGAACGTGGATTTAGTAAAAAGCGAAAATGTGATTACCAATGCTTTTGTCAAAGAAGCAATTGATATGGTTATTGTTCCTTACATACCTTTATCCGAACAAGCATTAGAGATGTGCATAATGGATGTAACGAAGAACAGCAATTTGAAGCTTACACAGAGCCAAATCGGTGAAATTAAACAGAGTTTATTAGTTTCAGGAAGTGGTTGCAAAGGAGCTTATGCAAAGGCACAAGTTATCGGTAGGGAATAAGTTTGGGAGTATCCATTTATTGTTAAGAAACACTGCATTTTTTCATTACATATAAGAAAAAACAACTTTGCTCAAAATATAGTAAATATCGTATAAGTACGACTTTACATATTTATCGTGTTCCATCTAGTTTTAAGTTCGTTATTTTGGTTTATTATTTTCACATTTCAAATTCTGTGATTAGTGGATACAATTATAATTTTTGTATAGACATAAGTGAAACAGCATGTATTTGTGATTTTGAAATTGAATGTACTCCCTAATTACAACGAAGAAAAATTAAATATATTTACAACATTTTTTTGTTTCTACTTATTTCGCGAGATAGCCCATTTACCGTAAACGTTGTCTCAATTTTGTACAAGTAACCGCATTTATTGGCAAAGGCCTTTCACACACGTAATTTCTCTATCCCTGGTCGGAACATTCTCGCGGTTATAGTAGCATTTCACTTTCCGATTGTAGCTGCTCGAACTATTGCGTGTCAAAGCTTCGTAAGAAAACAGTACTGAAACAAGTATTACATGAGTTTATGATCACCTCCGTTACGGAAAATCGTAAAAACCTACCCCGTGTATCACCTTGTAAAACAATAACGACGGTAGAATCAACAAATATTTGAGAAATTTGTGGAGCCTTCAGGTTGCGCATTACTGCTTTAAGCGATTATTTAAATGTTATTGTTACGTTTGTCACGATTCCCTGTCCTCATTTCTTAACGCTAATTCTTCATACCGAATCGTAGAACTTACCGCAGAATTGAATCTAGCAAAAAAGAAATTTCCTAATTGGTTGTTACGTGGATGAATGACGTAAGGTAGAAGTAGTATATGTGCAGCACGTTGGACATTAGAAATTTACGAAGGTTTATGTACTCACAGAATTTCATCTTCCAACATTTCACTCAACTGATATCAAACGCGCCTGTGTTATCAGTGTCAATGTCAATACGCAACATTAACATTCCAATTTAGTCGGACGAATCTGAAATACATCTGGTACTGTTAAGTTCGCATCTACTTTCATGAAATGAGTTTACATTTTATTCACTCGCAAAGTCTTTCTTTTACAAATTATTAAGGCATTGTACGGTTCGTTTCATTCCGATACCTAATGTAACACAATTTCGCTAAAGTTTCTTTTCAAATACGTAAGTGTCAGACTTTGTTAAAACGATATCCGGTATAGGAGGTGTAAACAATTATCTCGATAGAAAAATTACCACGCTTTATTCAATTTGCAAAAATTGCAATTTTAAATTCACCATAATGCATCGCGTAGTTTAACGAAGTAAAATTACACAAACGTGACTTAAACTTCTACGGTAAGTACATACATTTTACACGCTCGCACATGGCATGCATGCATAATCAGATTTTTTGTCTCAATCGTGGAATATTATTTTCGGATAGCTCCGTTGAAAAAAAAAAAAAAAAAAAAAACTTGTCAGCTCCGAAAAAGATAGAAGTCGTTACGACCACCGTCTCGCTTCGTTTAGCCGAACGATGATACCTGTTGCGTCTATAAAAGACGGACAATTAGGTAAACCGAGGCATTCCAGTGGTTTGCTTCGGACGTGTATTCACGAGACAATCTACTCACGCTATCAGAAATTTTCATCTTTCACCGACCGAAACAGTCGAATACGATTCATAAAAGTTTAGTAACGCGTGAGTTGTCCCTCGAAGGGTTCCTCGACTCCAAGAGGACACACAGCCGCAAGAACAGCGGAGGTGGAGCTGGAAGAAAGGTGCGACGGGAAATTATAAAAGAGCGATCGACAGTCAAGAGGACGCAGTCTCCTCCAAGTGTTCACCTGCGCGACTACGATCCGGGTATGTCCATTTTTTTTTTTTTTTTTTGTTTAGTTTTAACATCTGTAACAAACTTATTACGAAGTTTTCATCGTTATCAAAATTCATTAAAATAAACATAAAACGATCATGGTGCTCAAGTTTCTGAAACATTGAACCAAACGATGAACGCTAATTCATTTTTCAGCGATTGTATGTTTTCGAAATTTTGTTTCGTTGTTCACTTTAATTCAGCTCGCGTTGTTCCTGAAATATATTGAAACAATGATGTTTCGAGCCATCTTCATTTCGACGTTTCGAATATACTTGGACGATATTATTACTTTCTTTTGTCATCGAACAGTGCGCTATGATATCAAGTATTTTAACAGAAAAATGTGGTTCGTCTTTGAGATCGTAATAAACATTAATTTTTATTCAAATCACGATCCGCGACGAGTTCGATAGAATCGACGCGGCAAGAATTTCAAGTACAAATAGTGGGTAGCGACCTTGTCTTCGAAAGGTCGGACATTTTAGATGTCAAGGATACAGAACAACTTCTCTGAAATGTCGAAGGACGTTTGTTTTGAAAGACGTTTCCTAGTCGTCGAAATATGTTGTTGCTGGAAAGAATTCAATAAGAGGTGACGGTAATCGATAGTGTCGCGCGATGGAATTAAACAAGCTGCGTGAATTGTAGAACATATCGATATATATTAATCATCGATCGATGTTTGTTTATCTCTTATTCGTTACTCGACACTTTTTATACGCTTCGGTCACCCGAAGAGAGTTAGATTCGTTACGCCAGACCTAAACGGTTAAAATGTAATCTGAAGCAAAACGCGTCGACCCGATACCATATACTTTCAAATGAAAATAAGAACATCACTGCCTACGAGGTGAACAGCAATTTTGTATCGAAGCAAGAACTCTAATCCAAGAGTAATAACACGATAAACAGCAGCACTTTCTATGCGGAAGATAAGTTGCGGTGGTTTACTTCCCTGGTTGCACGGTAACCCGCTTAGTAGATACCCTACGCTTATTGACGTTACGCTTGCAAGATGTTTTGCTCGCTTTACTCGTAAAATCGTAGACATTGCCGTGAAATGTATTACGATTGCGACAAATAACCAGACGCAATGTACAAGCCGGAGGAAAATGCGCGTCCCTGCAACAATAATATCGTTCGCTACTTTTGGTGTACCGGAGACTCGTCGCAGCCACGAAGCGTCCTTAAATGATATTGCATATTCAGTACGTATAGAGTAACGTCGATGCCACGGAGTCATGGGTGCCCTCGAGAGGCAAGGTTTTCTTTATATCGGATCCGAAACCGGTTCCGTTCATTTTACATTCATATTTTCTTCACCCTCAAATTTTGGTGGTCCGAATATTCCGAACCGTTGACTAATATTTCAATGCAAAAAATACGAAAGCGTTGAATTTAATTCGCGGAGATATCATTTTTTTTTGTTTACAAATTCTCAGCCGCTGACGTAATTGTACGTTCTTCGTATTCGCCAGCTACAAGCGGCCATTGACGCTAATGCTCCCATCGTATCATCGTTCTTTAACTAAAGACTCTACCGATATCATCAGAAAATGAATTCAGTGGAGCAATCGGATATTTTAGACTGGTTCCGAGGATTCTTTATAGTCCTATAACGTTCAAATTTAAAGTTCACCGTCCATATTACTTTTGAGATAGCATGGACAGTTGGACACCGTGCCGAAAATAGTTATTTCGAGAAAAAAATGTATTCATCTCGTAATTTCGCAATCCTCGTAGGTTTTTACCGGCTTGAGTCGACGGTTTGATAGGAAAACATACCAGAGGTGGTTGGCAAGTTAAAGAAATACATAATCGTGTTAGTCGGCCGTACAAAATCGGAGAACAAAGATGGGCGCGCAACTCAGCCGATTGCGTAATCGGAGAAAGTTGTTGCGAAACGAGTCACTCACTTACGGCATATGTTGGTATCCCGGAACACGTAATGTTCCTCGGCGCTCGGACTCGAGTCGAAGATTATATCATAAACCGAGAGAATTGTTATGTCACGAAATCACCGATGGTTCAATAATACCTGCGAGAAATTACGTAAACGATGCAATCGTTGACTCGGCGAGAAGAAAGAAAGCGCACGTCGATGGTATCTTTCCTCGGCGCGGTATTCACTTTCATTCACGGCTTTGACTTTGAACACGATGCCGGGAACCATGTCAGTGGCTCGTCGAGGGCAGGACAGCTGCAGACCGAGAAGACAAGGGAACCCATTTGACCTCGTTTCGCTGAAAGAGACGGGAACGTGCATTAATTGGGCGAAGCATCATTAGTCAGGCCCTATCTTATATCACGGTTACTTGGCAGAGGTCCCGAATTACCACGAACAAAGATGGTTTAGAAATTTGTATGCTCTCGTAATCAGCTCAATGGTTTTGGTACAAAGGGTAATAACGTTACGTAGCAGACTGTTGAATGTGACGCGATTAATGATTGGACGCAATCTACTCGAAGTAATCTCACGTCGATGAATGATTGAGATAATGTACAATTAATTAATAGCGTTACTTACGACGCAAGATTTGTTAGATAAGATACGTAGCTAGATACCAGCAGATTTAGGATGAAATGCAACGATATTACCCTTCGTTTCAAGCGCTTGTCTGATAGTAATTTTGTTTTAATATATTCGAGACTTCCGAATTAATGTTAGGGCCTCGTAAAGGTAAGTGACGGGCTCTTCTCGATGTACGAGAGGTCCTGGCTGGAATCTAATTTTTAAACGTTAATAAAGAGCCTTCTACTTTTGTAGAAATTCGCCCAATCGATAAATTGTTGGATCCCAAAAGCTGAAGTTGCCTACCCATCGTGTTCGAGAGACAGGATTAAATTAACCAGAATGGGGGCAAACGATTGGGTAACCGAGGAGGACAACTACGAGTGTCCACTTTCGGAGGAAACGCAGCTTTTGGCAAAAGAGGAACTTAGGGAAGACAAAAATACGCGAGACCAAGCTCTCGAACAGATACGTAATTGGATCAAATTGAATCCGCGTATACAAAACTGTCGCCTTGGTGAGAGAATTACGTTTATTTTCAAAGACGTATATATGTATATACGCTTTCGAGAGTATCCTAGGTACTTGGAGTTAATATATTTTTGCTCGTCAGACGCGCAATTTTTGCTGAGATTCTTGAGATGTAAAAAGTTTAACGTACCGATGGCGGAGGAAGCTATCGAGAGATACTTGCTGCTCCGACAAGTTTATCACCCAGCTTTCAATCAATTGGACCCAACGGAACAAACGATGGAAGAACTGCTGTCTTTGGGGTAAGATCGGTGAAATTTAAAACACGTATTGTTATCCTTGCGATCCATTTCGTTTGTATTCCTTCAGATATCTGTTCGCCGTACCCGGACGCGACGCAAAAGGCCGCCGTGTTGTAATCGCCAGACCAGGTAAACGTTAATATCCTCATGGTCGTTCACACTCTCCGAATTAAATGATACCTTTCGACTAGGACAAATTCTGAAAAGCCGCGAACAACGTTACTTTCAAACTCTCCGTTTCTCCTCCTCCGTCTGGAATATTTTCACGCAACGTTCTCAACGCGAATGGTAGATTATTAGCTTTTTACAGAGAACATTGGCACGTGAACGCTCTTGCGAAGTAATCGTTAGGATTATCGCTCGATGCAAAAATATTAGACAATGATGTCTATGTAAGCGCATAGGTCATGTTTATTAATGAACGTTTCGACTATGTCGGTCTTTCGTCTTCTTCAGGGATACACGGATAGATTACGTAAGAGAAGTGTACACGATGTTAGAATAAATTTTTAACAAGGTGGTGCTTAGTTAGATGATGGTTGTTTAACGACACTTAGCGAAGTTTACTTCTTCCTTTCACGCGTGAAACGTGCTTTCAGGGGTTTTCGATCCTCACAAGTACACGAATGCCGACATGTGCAGAATCCACGCGATCACTTACGAGACTTTAATGGAGGACGAGGAGAATCAAGTGCGAGGTTTCGTTCACTTCGCCGACGGGGCTGGCGTCAGTTTTCCACACTTGACGCTTTTCACTCCGAAGGAGGCTGTCCGCATCGTCAAGAACGGCGAGGTACGGTCCTATCGTTCCTCGTGTTTCCGTGCAGCCTAACCGAAAAGTATTATTGCTTACGGTTACAAGACGCTTTCGATTCAAGGCCAGTGATGCAACCACGTTCCATTACGCCTTCAAAATCACTGGATGCTTAACCGGTTTTTGTAGATCCTGTTTCGCAGTTTGTAAATGTCGGGCGACGTTCAAATATCGACTTTTCATCTCAGGATCAATCTTCGGAACTCGATTCGACGCTGTTACCCATCATATGTAACAGAGCAAACAAATGTCCAATTTGCTGGAAAATATATTTTTAGCGAACTTTACGAGGATTCTGCTTTTTTTTTTTTCTAGCGAACTATACCGATGCGACACAAGGAGGTTCACGCGATCAATACTCATCCTTCCGTGAAATTTGCTCTCGATTTCGGCATGTCGTTGATCTCTGAGAAGATTAAAAAGCGAGTCAAGATTTACACGAGTCTCGAAGACGCTATCAATCAGAAAATGGACACGAGCATGCTACCAAAGGAATACGGCGGCACGATGCCTATGAAAGAAATGATCGGTAAGTTGGGATATAGTCTTTCGATAACGTTATTGCGAGAAGAGAACGATCTTACAGTTTAAAACGAATGTTTACGCAGCACTTTGGAGAAAGGAGCTGATGGAAATGGCGCCGATATTGATGAGTCACGACAAAATGAGAGTGTCCTTGGAGTTGTACTCGGAAAAAGCTCGAGAAGGTGCGGTGTCAGCCTTGAAGCAAGGTTTCGGTTGCTCGGATATTGGCTCCAGCGACTCTACCATGTACGGAATCAGCGGTTCGTTCAGAAAGCTCGAAGTGGATTGATCAACGGAAACCGATCGTCGACAGTACCAATTACAACGACTGCGTAAACTGTATCTACCTTGTCGACGAGACAAAGACGATAACATTATTCTTGTAACAAGTTATATTTGATAATCGTTATATAAAAACTGACACGATCTTAATCGTGAACAAGAAAATAGGTTAAAAATTTGATCTCGGTCGCGGAACGTGCTTCTTCTGCTCGACCAATTATTAATATCTACTTACGACTTTAGCGGAGCATTTTTCACAGCTAGCAAAACGCACATACACATGTATATTATATTTTTTACTCTCGAACGTAGCAATGCTACGGATAAGGATAAGTCGCGCAAAATCGGAGGGATTTCAATCGGATTTCTACGTACACTTTAGAAACTAGAATTACGTGTATCTCGAGTGGACATTTCGGAACAGGAACCCTAGAGAAAAGTAGCGAGACAACGTGCATCTAAAAATTCCTTTATTTAATGTACAAATTTGATCATATTTTGGATTAAGGAAATCGTCGATCTGTAAAGAATTTCACGATGTACGTTTAAAACGATAAAATATCGTCTGCTATATGCAGACACAGTTCGCGAGATGTAGATAGATATAAGCTGCACGAAATTCCATTTTGGCACACGATCAATTGTAAATAAGACTTTTTGTCCATGGAAATAAATGCATATTTTTTTACATCTATTTCACTCCTCTTGTTCTTCAAAAACGAAAGCCAAGTTTACTTGGAAGTGATCCATTCGCCGATGAGTTTACGCACGTTTTCCCTGGCATTAACGAGATCTTTGTTGCTCGTGTCACTGTCCGTGTACAGATCCTGGCAGTGCGACGATCCTGCAAGTGACGCGAAACAGTCGATTAAATGTCACACAGCTGTGTTTTGTGTTTACGTGAATTACCTTTGATAAGTATCGCGGGCGAGAATTTGTTTAAATCTCGAAGAACAGAAAGCGCGTGCCAGGGATCGACGTCTCCGTTGGTGAAGATTACATTTCGTAAATCTGGTTTCAAACCTCCGTACATTATGTTTGTTCTCCTAATTCTTTGGTTTAGGAAATTCTTGTCGTAGCTACGAGGAAGAAATGGATAGCGTGAAACGTCGCGAAACATACCTGATTTCTGTGGTACTTACTAACTGCCGTATAAGTCGGTACACATTGTCGTGTAAAAATTCACTGGAAAGAGAGTTCCGAAAATGGATTTTGTCGAGTTCGTCGTTTGGAAATAGCCGTACTCGCTGCACGTTTGATAGTACCATTGTCTCACTAAAACCATTGAAATTGTACAGCGTGACGATAAAATGATACGTTCTATTACAAAGTAATTAGAACTTACTGACATCGGATTGGTTGCTGTATTCGCTGTTAGCGTAATACTTGACAAATACCTCGTAATTAAGATTCAAACATTTGTCTTGTCCCGATATGAGATGCGCCAATCTCTGCAGAGGAGTACCCAGGTTCTGTGAAGTCATGCTCGAGCAGCACGCAGCGATATTCGATTTACCGTTCATCACTGAATTATATTGAACGATACCACCAAATATCTATCAAAGAGAAAATGTGACAATTGCGAAATCACGTAATCAGAGGATAATAAATTTCTCATTTGGTACTGCCAAGCAGGGAAATGCGATGCGCGGTTGTCGTTTCATAACGCACTCCGCAACAAGAGGCAATTGTATGATATAATTCTACTTTCTAAGGAAACTCACCTCTGCCAAAAAGTTCATAAAGTAACTAAGGTCGCTCGGAGAGTCTATATTCGGTGCGTCGCATAAACTGAAATTTGTTTAGATGATAGCACTACGTTACATGATTCTATCGCGGAGAAATGAAGAAAACGACTATTACTTCAAGGAAGATTTCAACATCTCCGGGCCCCCCTTGGTTGACAGCAATTTTTCGATCTCGTCGAATGCGGCTTTGGTGTCATCCACGCATTTCTGACTGTGTTTGCGAAGACTCTCGGTCACGACTTCGTAATACTCTACAAAAAGAACCCGTTTTTTTTTAAACATACAAGGAAAGTTTCAATTGCGAACAGTTCGTTGCACTCACCGTAAAAATCAGCCTTTGCGTAAACTGGAGCGCTGCTAGCCAATGCACCCTAAAGAAAAAGTCATTGGAGATTTCGCGAAGAAGGAAATATCGAGAATCAAGCTACCATAAAAAGAAATTCTAATTACGTAAACGAGATGGGGGTATTTAAGTCTAGCCCAGGTAGCCATGCTTCCAGCGTAAGATCCTCCGAAGACGATGACTTTGCTATTTTGGAATCTAGGATCTCTCTTCTTACATTCGATGAAGTATGCTAAATCGGCCAATGCTTGATCAACGCTCAAGTACTGTAAGTTAGCTGAAGTAATATCTCTAAAAAAGATTCGGTAGTGGAAGATTCGAAGCGTGACACGGAAGTCGATTATGTTGAAATGTTTTTACGCTGAAGTTTTTGTTCTGTTACGCATAATCCGTAACGTTCAGTCCTTTTCAGGGAAGTCTTAGCGATTTTACGAGAGATCAACTTACGGGGTCGGTTTACTTTTGCCATAGTAACGATGCTCGGTATAATACATCATCGCGTTATGAGTACGGCCGATTTCGAACATTTGACCAGCCGTTAAGAAACCTTTGTTTATTTCCCATTCCCCTCCGATCATAATCAAAATTGGCCCGTCTTTTTTGAAAAAGGCTGAATTTAGATAATAGCGCTGTCGGAATAAAATACGACGATGCATAAATTTGATTCCCATTTTTTTTCTAAAATAGTTTTAGTTCGAGCATACCATTGACCATGTACGATTGTCGCGTGCGTTGAAGTGGTCGAGAGGTTGCGTAATCCATTTTTCTTGTACATTATCCGCGCTGAACAACGTTGATTGCGGTTCCTCTAAACCTCGAAAATGAAATCCATGGAAACCAACCCCATCACCAAGGCGAATGGTAAGGCACAACGTCAGTAGAGTACTTAAAAGGATCATGTCGAATTCCCGAAGTAACAGACAATGTTGAACAATTTTGGTCTAGAACAGCGGTCTAGACCGATTTACGAAACACTGATTCGTGAATCCGACCCGGCTACTGTTTTAAAGTACCTCGACGCGATATCAAATGTACCGTTATCAACGTTCGATCGAAATTGAAAGAACTTATCTGATAACGAGATGTAATTATAACATTTCAAAAATTCAATCACAAGTGGCCGATATGTTACTTACGCAAAGAACGATAAGCTTGAAAAAACCAGGATTGTAACATCGATAGATGTTGAACGATTCAACGTTCAATGAACGATTGAAAATATTTGTTTAAGTACAAAACTGATTTTATTGTTAAATGCACTTCAGTATAAAACGGTACTTCTTCGTATCTAATTACATTAATTACACCAGAGTTTTGATAAATTCACAAACAATTTGAACGAATGTCTACTTCGTTACTTCTCTTTGACTTTTTCGTCGCTTTCGGAATCCGTCGTGGCCCATTCGTCGTCGGAATATTCTGTTGAAGTTTTCTTCGATAAGCGCAAACTTCCTTTCTTCTCTTCGGTGCTAGAGTTATCCGTATCGGAAGAGTCCGTACTATTAACACTGATCTCGTCAGAATTTTCTTTATCCCATTTCGACTTTACGTCTCGTACGTTTTTCAAGTAGTCGCTTTCTTCGATGTTCGATACTTCGGAGCTCTTCTTAGACTTCCTTCTCGAAGAGTCATCGGAGAATTCGCGCTGATTTTTCGACTTGTGTCTAACTTTCTCGCGATCCTCTTTCTCTCTCTTGGAGTATCTACTCGGATACCTACGAGCCTTCGAACGATGAGCTTTTTTGTCGTCGCTTTTGGAGTATCTTCTGTGAGAATGCCTCGACGACTTCGACTCATCGTAGTTGTCTTCTTCTTCTCTCCTTCTTTGATATTTTTTGTAATGCCTCCTAGAAGATTCGCGGCCGTTCGAAATTTCGTCGTCATTTTCATCTTCGAAATGTTTTCTAGAGCTCGACCGTCGGCGTTTCACGGGTGTTTCTGCGTGATCGCTGAGCGTATCTTTGGTTGATTGATCGTATCGTTTATCGCGTGCTGATCTCTGCCGAGACTCGGTCTCGTCGGATCGACGATGCCGTTTCTCAGAGTTCCTCGTACGCGAATGAGGCTCGGGTTCGGGGGACTCGGACCATCTCCAGTCTTTCCCATCTTCGGCATCGCTGCCGTCCTCCCATTTGGATTTATTTCTGAAAATGAAGTAACGAAAACCCTTAACAATCTTAAGTATGAATAAAAATTGATCGTGTCTATACCTGTGGTCGCTTCTTCTGGCAGTGGTAGGTTCTTGGGAGGACGAGGCCAACTGCTTAGCCCATCTGGGTGGACTTTTGATATCGTATTCGTCGTGCGGATTTTTAAAGGTATGCAAAAAATTGCAGGCTCTTCCTTTCGGGCACTTGGCCATTCCGCAGACAGCGCTCCTCCAGGACTTGAGGTTGGCAAATTCGCAATTAAGCTGCCGACCAGCGTACCAGCGACCTTTCAACTTTCTCATCGCCCTAGCCGCCTCTCTCTCGGTACAGTATTCGACGTACAGATTACCCCGCAAATGAACCTCGGTATTGCAACAGTACTTGAGCGTTTTTATCCTTCCGAAGGACTCGAGTTCCGGTACGACGTCATTGTAGAACTCGCGAAAGTGTTGCCGCGTTTCCGAACTCTCGAACTCGAGGGCCACGTCCGTGTCGTACTCCGCGGAATTCTTTTCCAGGGAGAAATGCGTGTAAAATCCAGGAACTAGTATCACTTTGCTCAAACATACCCTTCGATGATTCCTCGAGCAAGTATCGCCGTACCTGAAAGAATGTACTTTTTTATGATTTCATACTGTTTTCGTGAACGAAGCAAACGCGCCAGAAATATATTTTCCTCACCTGCAAGCACCAGTTTTTGTGAAAAAGGGACAAAGTTCTTTTCCAGGCTGACTGTTGATGACTTCGCGCAGAGCTTCCGGAGTCTTGATCCCATTATCGATGTAATCATCGATCTCCTTCAACAGCTCTTCCCGCTTTCTAATTTCCTCCTCTCTCTTCCGTTTCTCTTCCTCCTGCTTCTTGCGAATCGCTTCCTGTTTCGTCTCGAATTCCTCCCGAATTTTCATCTCTTGCTCCAGTTGTTGCTGTCGGGCTCTCTGCTTTCGTTCCTGCAGGACTTGCCATTCCTTTTGCGCTTTTACCTAAACGAACCAAACACGGTGTAAACAATTACGCGAAGCTTTCGATATTACGTTCAGCTTGCTCGTGCTTACGGATATCGTATAATAACTAGCAGGTTTCGGTAACCACATATTCGTACTATTTTCATGATTATAATTAAGTTCCGATTGACGTTACTTCTAATCGAACGTGTCCTATCGATCACAAAAACAAAATACTTTTGACAATCAACGAGAGCGACGAGACACGCGATGCATAGGGTGTCGCGAAACGTTAGGGCAAACTGAATCGAGTAAATTTAAATTCTTTTGTAAAACAATGAAGCTGCGTACAAATCAAATCGAAATAATAGACAAATGAAACGTACGAGTCGACTTCCGGGGTGCGGTGTTTGTCTTCCGCATAGGTAACTGTGGCGCAATATTACGTACTTACGTATAGTTACAAGCGAAACTGCTCGTACCGAGTCATAGTCGAGTTCGGTACATTTTTATGGCTTTAAACACATTTATTATGAGATTATATAACCCATCCAAACTCTCAACCATAATGAAAATATCTCTCGAGTGATGTAATTTTAGAGTTAGACATACACGACTTACTTCCGGCAAGTCGACGATTTGTAATACTCGCACAGATTATGTATCGCATCGGCAACGTGTGTAATAGTGCGAACCGGAAAATTAAACTCGGTGAAAATGATTAATAGGGGAATAATGTGCTTTCCAAAGAGTAGAAATTATATTTACCTCTTCTTCCAGCCAAAGTTTCTCCCGTTCATCACGCTCCTCCTCCTCTTTCTTCTCCTTTTCTTTCTCGGCGATTTCGCGGTCTTCGATCCATTTTAAATAGTTGGCGCTTTTCTCTAGTGCTGCCCTCAGTCGTTCGGCATCCGCTTCCCGCTCAGCGGCCGCCTTGCGACGCAGACGTCTGCGACGTTCCTTTTTCGCTGTCCGTCGCCACTCTTTATGGCTTTTCTTCGTCGAGCAACAGCCTTCCATTACCACGCATCTTCCACGAAGACGAACGTCCGTGTTACCTTTGACGATATCGTGAATTGTCCGGAAGTCGCGAGGCGATGATCGTTAGACGTCCGACAATCGATTCCAACGAAGAATCGCAGACGACACGTGCACGCCGCCATGTTACTTTCGAGAGAAGGTTTCGATCGAGATTGTCACCATATTTTGATTAGATTCACGAAGAATGTCACGCTTGGTAAAATTGTTTGTATTCGCCCTTTTACTTAAAATTGTACAAAACGAGGGCTTCGAAGACATTTCGATGACGAGCGAAAGATCGAAGAAGACAATTCGGTTCATCGATAATTCACTGATCGTGCGAGTTCGTCTTATATGTAAATGTAATTTGAATTAGACGACAACAAACGCAACAGAAGCATACTACATGGGTGTTATCAATATTTATATCGTCGTAAAAAGTGCAGGTTATTTTAATATGCATGATACGACCGTCAAAGGGAAGTAAAATCCTAGGGACTTTTACTTTGATGGCATACATCGCCTTCAATGATGGCAGTGATGGGCAAAACCCTAGGCTTCGAATGAATCTGAAGTTTGCTGATATGTTTGTCTCGTTTCCTCTTTTAAACATTTTCCAAAGAAGGAAACGAGACAAACATATCGGCAAACCTCAGATTCATTCGAAATCTAGGGTTTTGCCCATCTCTGAATGATGGAAACTGGTTTACGACCGCAGTTGTAGGTCAAGTTCGGACGAATGCATCGACCCGTATATGTTAAGATTCGTTACATCGGATTTAATAATCCTACTGTAATCGAGTCTTTATATAAACGAAGATTACGAATCAAAGTAATCGGTGAAGTAAATAAAAATAAAGTAAAGTAAATATACTCGAACGAGTAACGCATGACAAAGTAATTGCAAACAAAATGTTCCTCGTTCCTTATTCTCCAAAGGCACACCTATCCTGAACTGAAAATTGTTGCGAAATAATTTGTAAATCATAAAACCCAATAGACAAAATTGCGATGATCGTTTGCGTTAATAAATAGGTAATGATAATAAATAGTTTTGATGTACTCGAAGATGACCGAATAAGGACAAAAACGTTTATATGTTCGATAGCCAATGAATAAACAATATATATCAGGGTCGATCGAATCGAGTGTTGATCGTAAAAAGGATTTCCTCGAATGAAAATCAATGATCGAAAGGCTCGATCGATACCCGTTGTCTTCTGTCTTTTCGTGATCGATAATCCTGATACATTGGAAGATCCACGAGCGATGGCGTATTATTGGTACGGTCCTGCGAAGGTACCGTTAAACCTGACAGAGCGTTGAACCACGTATGGTACGAACCGGCGCGACGGAACCAGCTTCGGTAGTTCCCGAATTCCCATTGAGAAGTACACTCGGGATTACCGTGATCCCGTGAACAAAAGAAAAGTCCTAATAAAAAGAAACAGTCGTGCAAAAAAGTAGTCTACGGATGTTTGCATAAGTTGCGCCACTTGCGACCGGTGCAAACCGCGATACCAGTTCAGACCAGTGACCAAAACGCAAAGGCTTCGTACAGATTGTCCAGTGTGCATCGATACGTTGTCGGTTCGTCGTTATAGTTGGCGAAATTTAAAGACAAACAACGGATCGCTTAAACGTTTCAATTTAACGATCAAAATGATAAATCTGTGATTCAACGTACGATTAGAATATAATGGACGAAACGAAGATGATCCAAAGAAATGGCCAGACCGATGGAAAGGGCCAAAAATCGGTGAAAAAAGAGAAATCGTTGTTTTGGACTTACGTACTGTGGCTATTCGGAGGCCTAGTTGGCGCACACCACGTGTACTTGGAACGGGATGCACAGGCATTCGTATACTTCAGCACTTTCGGTGGATACGTGGGCATTGGATGGCTCCGAGATATCTATAGGATTCCTTCGTACGTGGCAGACGCGAACAATGATCCTCGTTTCCTCGATGACTTCAAACAGACAGTTCGGACCAATCGCAAGGTACTTAAAAAATGACGGATGACCAATTTTTTGAGACACGTATCTGCAGTGGTGCATTGTAAACAAGAAAGATATCTGTCGATCGAGACAACTTAAGTCACTTTATATATTTTGAACGATGCATCTTCTTTAATGCGACGCAAGAATGTTACGAATACGTGAACTGATTATTCCATATATATATTGCGCCACCGCGTATAATGCGGAAATGGAATCGGATCGACGAAATTTGTACACAAATATTCCGCGCAAATCGCACGAATTGTTGGTAATAGAGATCAACGCGTTCGTTGGTGTTCGAGGAGATATAATTGCTAATTTTGTAACTGGTCGAATAGAAACGAGGAGTTAACGTAACGTAACTGCATTCGATATTTCAGCCCCCGTTTTCGACAGCGCGATTCGCTGCCGAAACCGCAGTCGCATATTTATGGGCTGAATTATACCGTAGCGCTATTCCGGAGGACGAGGTCTTCGGCATTAATTTTCGACACCTCTTAATCCTCACGCCTTTCGTCATCGCTTTAGGTAAGGAATCGCATACGTTAGCGAAATATGAAATCGCAATGTAGGTCTCGTTTTCCTCGAAGTTATCAACGCGCTTATTCGTCTACATATAATTAGCTGATAATGGCACTCGTGTCACGTTACAGTGCACGAATTGATGAGGTTCGGTGGGAGTAGGTGAGTCCCTGACGCGTCATCCTGTGCACTAATTTTCGAAGCAACGCGAACAAGTCCGTGGAACGGCCACTTGTGTGCCATTCGACGGAATGGTCCTATGAGAATGTTACGTTGTAATTGTACTATGAATAGCATTGCATCTAAAACAGGACCCGGTAGATAAGGCTTACGGATGAGTTCAACTAGCATAGTCTACATGAAATGCGGTAATATCGTTTGTTGTTACAAAAATCTTTGAAAAGTTCTAGATTTAATTACATTTAATATTATTGTAGTATCCGCGCCTCCCACACCCAACAATAAGGAGTCAAATAAGAACACGAAACGTAGGGTACGGGATTGGTCGCGTTGGTAAAGCGGTCGACTGTGGATCCGAGGATCGTGGGTACGACGAATCCTCGTGCCTTATTTTTCGTTTAGACTCCTACATTATTGAACGAGCATTAATATTTGCTTTCGTTATTAGTGCTCCTTTTGTTCAGTCGTATTAATCTACGTTGTGTATGAAATCGGAGCAGGATGTGACGTTTCGAAAACACACTGGACATTCAGCCTCCTCTTCCACCGAACCTCAATTTCCTCTGCCATGCGACTCAACAATGGCGACGAAACAATGGTCGTTGCCGCGAGGTCGAGTTTATATACACAAATGTTGCTTCCATCAATTTCGTGAACTCGATGCGTGTATTTAGCGCAGCTGAATATTATTTTTATCGTCGATGTGTACGTACATTCAGGTGTGTGGACAGTTGGAAATATCGGTAGAGAGCAGGGATCCATATGGGTCGCTCTTGGGTCTGCGTACTTGCTTTATCCAACTCTACCCTACATCGGCGATGACACCATGTGGATATTCCTGATGGTCGTAGTGTCCAGTTTGAGCTTCGATACGTTCAGCAAGCAATGGAGATTGAAACCAAGAAAGAGGAACAGCCTCGTTCGGAGAGCAATTTATTTAGGTTTAGCTGTCGCGTTGTATCTGTCTTTAATTGGTTGCTATCTGTACTTCAACGCAGTTATTACCGACAGCGAGGGCGAAGAGATCAAACTGTCCGAAGCTATTCAGCATTTCCTGACGTCGCCTATATGGCTCGACCTTAAGGTTAATTCAAACAACACAGAGTACGCTCCGTTGCAACGTTCAAAATTTGATAAAATCTTTCTTTCTTTTCTTAGGCTAGCCTCGAGGCAACCTGGAACCAAGCGATGCATCAAGGTTTCTGGGCAACGTGGGCCCAATTGGTCGATCTCACCGATCCCCGGGGTGAAATAAACGCTTACAAAGTAAGCCTGGAATTTATCCCGCGAAATTTGTTCTTCTTTGAACAGAGATACCGAAACTGTACTTCTTTGCAGGTTTTAGACCTCTCTCAAACAGCCACGCAAACCGAAATAACATCGCGTTGGAGGGCTCTTTCGAGGGATAACCATCCCGACAAGATAAAAGGCACCGAAGAGGAGAGGCGACGGGCTCAGGAGAAATTCATGGAGATTCAGCAGGCGTATGAAATTCTTTCAAAGGCGAAGAATCGTAGACAACGCCGCAACAGAAAGTCGGAATGACCTGGTGACGATAGTGTCCTCGTAAAGGTTTATTATAAAGATGTATTTTTTAATCGATCGGAGATATAGACGGGGGCTCGGAGTCGAAGCGTTCTTTTATCGATCTCATTCTACCTCGTTGTATCTCGTTCTAACAGTACGCACTTTCGTTGGTCGCACTGCCGATTCGTGGAAATTGGTATTGCGTTTGTAAGCAACGAACATAAACGTTTATACGTGTTTGTAAATTTGTTTGTGTAAATAGATAAACAGTGTGAACATACTCCTTAAAATTGTCGTTAACGTAAAAGTGGTCGATGAGTGTCCTAATGAAGATAAAAATTTGTAATATCAAGACGTTTATTTAAAAGTTCTTTCGACGATCATTGCATAGTTACAAAATATCGCGTTGCCTTCGAGCACGCGTGAGCGTCGCTGGTTAAAAAAGAGTCTCGGAGAGAATGTTCGCACTTCGATTCGATGGATGGTCGTTGATAAAGTTTTCAAATTATTCTATCCACTCTTCCCCGGAATTCGATGAGTCACCGCGATTCTAGTCGATTCTTTGGTATTCCTGACTTTCGACACGTTCTACGCGCTGCTACTCGATGGGTACGGTCCATCGGGATCGTAAACCAAAATTAAGTCTGAATTGTTTACACCTTCAACCGCACCATTTACATCGAAAACAATCTAGAGCAACGCTTATAGCATACGATGGCACTTAAATCAAACGCGTTGGAAGAAAAAGGATAATTTATCTGGAACAAAAACTCTGTCTATTTGGTCTTCTTCTTCGATCGCGACGGTTTTACCACCGTGTTCTCGATTTTCTCCGTGAAATTTACGTACTTGTCCTTCGATTGCTCGAGAAAGTCGTGTGACGATACCAGTGTCACTCTGAAAGGTAACAAAAACGATTAAAATCTATCCAGGAGTGATCGAGATCGAAAGAAATTCGAGTCCATACCTCAGTTGTGGAACGCTCAGCGGTCGAAGGAGACTTTTAACCACTGGAGGAACTTCGCTGGCCTTCGGTAAAGCGGGACTGCTCACGCAAAGAGCAGCGCTGGTCAGTTGCGAAACCAACGAATAATTTCGATCTGGTCCAGAGGTTGTACGGAAAACTCTTCTTATCTTTGATTTTAATCCCATAGACGGCGGTGACAAGGGAGTCGTGGGTATGGGTATCAACTGTGTCGATCGTTTTTCTCGTTAAATTATTCCTTTCTTTTCAAATTTATCGGTAATTCGAATAAAGCCAAAATACATTTTGACTACTTACTTTTCCTTGAAGTACTTTTGCCGCTAGTTCGGGTTCGCTACCCCATCTGCACGACGTCGATCTTTCCAGAAGCCGATGCCTGGCGAACCTCTCGATCACTTCAGCGCAAACGTATCTTCCGCAGAATCTGGCCCACTGTTCCGCTCGTAATCCTCTTCCGTGATCTCTCAAAGTTGGATTCGCACCTTTGAATAAACAGCGAATAGCGTGGCCTTTGTTAATAGGTAATGGAACTCGGGGTATCGCAAGCTATTCGGGAATATGGGCGTCGTTGTTCAAATGTTTCGATACGGTGAAAGAAAGAAGAAGCTTCGTAAAAGTTCTGCTTACCAGCGAATAACAAAATTTTCGCGCACTTGGTCCTCCCTTGAAGAGCAGCCTTCATCAACGGAGTGAAGCCTGATGCGTTCCTAGCGTCCACCTCGATGTCCTGACACCTTTGGAGGAGAATGTTCAGGCACTCTGTTTGGCCTGAATCGATGAAAACCGGACGGCCATTAATTCGAGTGTACGAAACTTACTGCTTAACCGGCGCGGCGTCCTTCGAGGATTCGAGTGTCCGCATATTTCGAGCAACGTAATGTTCGGCCCTGTTTTTGGCTCGAAACGTTCGTCGACGATACGTACGTCACCGCAAACCACGCGTGTTTCAAGTACCCAAGTACGTCGGTTATTTCTGGCCGACAGTGACGCGTTGGTACTCTTACGGCATCGCGCGTATACAATTCGACGTGTTACGCTTATATCGACCACCCGATATTAGTTTCTAGCAGCGCGAGAAGTGTTGTGTTTACAAAATTTATGATTGCCACGTGGCCACATTCTTTCGTCGTGTACGAGTGCAAAGACGTACGACGGAAGTGATTATCCTTGAAAGATCCGTAACACGAACCGAAGCAGAATTTTTATTTTCGTAGCAAACGTTTCTTTCGTCGAAAGCGTTCCCCCGCGAATATTCATTAACCGATCCTCCTTTATCAATCCATCGAACCAGCCGAGTGCTATTTCGCGCGGCACGCAATCCGATGAAAAGCAACGCGAAAATAGGGTTTGCGAGCGCGGAACGTTTTCCGAACTTCCCTTTTTAAGGATAATGCGATCGCTTACCGGCCTGCGCGGCAAAATGTAGAGGCGTGTTGCCCTCGTTGTCGGGAATATTCGGATCCACACCCTCGCACGACAGAGCCAGCTCCAACATCGCCGAGGCACCATTCCCAGCCATGTAGCTTATGGCGGTCTGGCATTGCAAACAAACAACATCGATGATGGCTTACTCAGAAGTTTGCTCGAAAACTACGTCGATTACATAAACCCCCTTTTCAAAGAAACCGTTATTCGCTGGCTCGCGTTAAAAACCTTGAACGTCAAACGATCTGTTACCTTTCAATCTTTTCCTCTTTTGTTTACCACGCGTTTGCTAACACTTTGCCTCGACCCTGACGAAACGGTATAAAATCCGTGAAAAAAGACTGCTCGGTAAACGAGGTAGCGAAACAAGGACGACGGATAACGCGTCCTAGAAAGAACGTACACGAAGTTAGATTGGAACACGGAAAAGATTCGTCCGAGCATCGTCTGCGAGGTAGCCTCGCATTCTTTGCTTTAGAAATATGCACAATAGACTGTGCGTCAAGGGTCAATTTATTAAGTGGTTACTGACGTTGAGGCGATAGCTCAAACGCTATTACTTTATCCGCTTGGCTATAGCAAACACGCGTCAAGTTTGCGAGTGCTTCGCGAAACGAACACCGATTCTTCCGGGGATAACGGGAACGACTAAATTTGTTTATCCATTGCACATCGAAAAGCTTCTTCGAAATAATTTTATGGTTCGAGAAAACTATGAAACGTTATCCGCGAGTTGGTCTGTGCAAAAATTCAAAATTACAAACGATGTTACAATGCCTAACTCATTATCGACAGCTAAAACCTAAATAATCCTTCGTTCGACCGAATCAGCGACCGTGACCCAAAACGATTAGAACAGTGATTCCCAAATACTTTAAGCATCGTACGTTTATCTTCCCGTTCGGTACGCTTTGAATGTATTCAAATCATTCGACTTTTTTTTTTTATTCGCTGTGCAAGTGGTTAACGATCATAAATATGGACTATACAAAGCTTGAAATAAATTAATCACAGACGAGGAAGAAAACATCAACGCGATGAATTTTCTCGACCTACTATCGTATCGACAAAAAAAAAGAAACAGCTAAACTGTAAACATAATCCATCCTTCGTAATCGTGTACCGCCCAGAAACTATCTTTTGTATCGTATTGGCACCATCTTTCAATTTGATAACCACTGGTTCCGATTGTGCACGCAACAAGCCTTGAAAGATATTGATGGCGCCTTTTGCCGTGTAAATTTACGCTCTAGTCGTCTACTTTTCAAACTAACTTTAGAACGATAACGATTCCATTTTTTCGAGCGGTGTAATTGTCCTCGTTGCGCGATTAGACAGCCAAACGAATTTAAAGGATCCGTTTAGTTTATAGATCGTGTTACGCATTTCATCTTTCTACTCGTCAGCTCGAATTTTACGCACATGTAGGCGCGTGTCTGAAGGGGTTCGAAGCGATTCGTCCGATACATGCCGTCACGGAATGTTTGCTCATTTTAACGCGGGCCAACTGCATACTCGATTCGAACGAACAACAATTTTGTTTTAATTATAGCCCGATGTCGCCGCATATGGAATGCGATCAGCGGAAGAAATTCTACATACGGAACTCTATCGCGGTAATAATTTGAAACGCGTCGCAACTTTGGAACATATAAGTCGTGTGCGACAGTCGGGAAATCGGAAGTGCTGTCTCTTATTTAGAAGAGCGGTAAACATTATGAACACTTGTGTCAGCAATATCTATGTAAATAAATCTCGATCGATTCCATTGTTTCACTCTATATTAAACCGCGATCGTTTTAGAAGTTTCGCATCGACGAACGGTAATTCTCTTTGCGGGACAACGAGCCGCGTATCTCTGTACCGTTTGTATTGCTGGTAAATAGTTCGAAATGTCTACCGTCCTGTCAACAAACATGGATGGAACTAATCGTTTACTTTGAGGCCGCGAAACTTCATTAGCCCGTGGACGCGTTTTATTTGGAATTCTACGCTTCGGTCCATTTCTCCGGCAACGCGCAATTAAAGCGTTAGCGGTAGTCGTAACGAGGTTTACGATCGTGCGCGTGTTTACGCGATTAAATTTCTAAAGTTCCACGACAAAAGGCCACTTACTCTGCCACTGCTATCGACCACGTTCACGTCCATATCCCCGAATCCGAATTTTCGTACGCGAGTGGCGATTTGATGGAGGGTCGTGTCGTCTGCATCCCTGGCTGCCCTCAGGAGGGCCGATCGGCCCTCGGAGGGTGTTTCCCACGACGGTGGCACTTTTACGACGATCGTATTCTCGAGCACGCTGCGATCTAGAAATGAAACGTAGATACTTGCGTCAGCACAGGGACGTACCACGAACGCAAAGGAACATCAACTTCGGGATGTAGCGTAAAAATCTAGCGCTGTCTTCGTTCTCTCTTAAAATTCAAATTAAACATTTTTAATGTATTTCCCTGCTGGATGTTACAAGTTCAAGAATTTAAAGTTCTCAAGAGTTCGCCTATAGATAGCGTTTGCCTTTCGTGAAAAATTTTAGAAGCGGAAATGGTCCCTCGAACTTCGATGAGTTTAGATCCAACGGCGCGCCAGTTAAAATCATTTTTGCGAACCATTCGCTCGTTCATTTCGTAAGACGTGAAAATAGAAGAACTAACAAATGGACTGTCAGGTTGGCGGTACCACGGATACGTTAGTTTGCGAGTATGACGGACGTCTATATTTTCGTATCGACATTTGATAAAAACGGTAGCGAACGTTTTAAAAGATGTAAATAAAACAAGTTCCTACTGGCATCGTATACCGTAGATTCTTATCTAGAAATAAATTCGCTCACTTTACGAACGATGCCTATAAAATACGGAACATTTATCGAACTTTATTTTTAAAGAACCCAGATTTTATTCCGTTCGGTTCCCGAAGTATCGTATTATTTTTCGCGAATTGGAAGCGTCGTGCATATAGAA